CGCATGTCCCGGTGCTCCTGGGGAGCCTGTGGCACTGAGGACTGTCACACTCAGCCCCACAAGGCTGCTGAAGGTGTGGCTTTGATCAGCGCTGCCATGAAAGCTCCACCCCACAGACCATCCTGGAGACACTCGTGGCACAGCCCACACCTTCCTTTCTTCCCTGTCTGCAGCAAAGTGGTCTCCTAAATCACAGGGTTTGGTTCAAGTGGTACAAAACCAGGCAGGCACCAGCCTTGGGCACTCTGGAATATCCTCTGGGAGCCCTGAGTCACAGCCCTGTGGGCACTCAGCATCCATTTCTCATTTATCCTGGTGCTGTTCTTTGCTTGATGGGTTTTGTTAGATCCCAGTGGTTCTCACAGAGCAGCCTTGGCTGGGAAGGGCTGTCCCTACTCTACTCTACTCTACTCTATTCCACTCCATCCCATCCATGCCCCACTGCTCTCTGCCCCCTCTCCAGGCCCAGCTGGGTGGGCAGAGACAGCCCCAGCCTGGAGCAGCTGGGCTGGGACTCAGGGAAATGGCCTGGAGCTGGGGCTGGAGATGGGAAACATCGGGATGGAGATGGGAAACACCTGGGATGGAGATGGGAGACACCTGGGATGGAGGTGATGGGATTGGAAACACCTGGGATGGAGATGGGACACACCTGGGCTGGAGATGGGACACACCTGGGCTGGAGATGGGAAGCACCTGGGCTGGAGATGATGGGATTGGAAACACCTGGGATGGAGGTGATGGGATTGGAAACACCTGGGATGGAGATGGGAGACACCTGGGATGGAGGTGATGGGAAGCACCTGGGAGTGTGGGCACAAGCAGGTTCCAGTTTGGCCTCTCCCAGTCCAGTTCCTTGCAGCAAGCAGCAGGAAGAACCAGCAGCTTCTCCTGTGCCTGCCCAGGTAGGAGTGGGGGGCTTTGGGGGTGACTCTCCACCTGAACCCCACCTTTTGGGGTGCTGTGGGCCCTGGCTGATGGGGGCAGCTGTGGGGTTCTCACTGGATTTGTTTGTCCCTGTGACATTCTGGCTCTCCCTGTCCCTTCCCCAGGCAGGTGTGCAGCTGGGGCTGGGGCTGGGGGTGTTCTCCACTCCTTCATGCTCATGTTCCTGTGGCTGCCAAGGGTTGGCTTTTCCCCTTCCAGCCTTGCTGTGCCCTGTCAGTCCTGCCTGTTTCCTGCAATGTCTGTCCCCTGCCCTTCCAGGGTGCCACCACCCTGCAGAGCTGGCACGGCTGCTCTGGGGGCGGGATTTTGTTGTGTCTGGAATGTTCTGGAGAGCCACAGTGCAGCTCCAAGCTTGGCTTTCAAGAGTCACAGGGGGGGCAGGTGTGCTGGAAACCTCCCCTGATCTCACAGAAACAGCCTGGCAGAGCTGGGGGTGCTCACCTGGAGAGGAGAAGGCTCCAGGGAGAGCTCAGAGCCCCTGCCAGGGCCTGAAGGGGCTCCAGGAGGGCTCTTCCGACCCCTGTTGTGGGTGGGAAGCCAAAGCTCCCCTGGACAATGCGGGATTTACCCCGGGATTCCCCCTGAGGAGCAGCAGCAGCCCTGGGGCTCCCTGGTCCCGCCGGAGCTCAGCTCGGGCCGTGCGAGCGCTGCGGCTGCTGAGCAGCGAGGCACCGCTGCCACCTGCTGTCCCCGGGCTGCGCTGGCACCCTGGGCTGCAGGGCTGCCTGGCACCGCCCTGGCACCGCCCGGGGCACAGGACACAGCCAGGGCTCCCCAGGGAACCTGCAGCACGCGGCTGGGGGGCTCAGCTGGAGCAAAGGAGGCTCAGGGGGGGATCTGTGGCTCTGCACAACTCCCTGACAGGAGGGGACAGCCCCAGGTCGGACTGTGCTCCAGGGGACAGGGACAGGAGCAGAGGAACGGCCTCAGGCTGGGCCAGGGCAGCTCATGGGGCAGGTGTGTGCCCTGCTGGAAACCTCCCCTGCTCTCACAGAAACGGGCTGGGAGAGCTGGGGGTGCTCACCTGGACAGGAGAAGGTTCCAGGGACACCTCAGAGTCCTGAAGGGGCTCCAGGAGAGCTGGAGAGGGACTGGGGACAAGGGATGGAGGGACAGCACACAGGGAATGGCTTCCATTGCCAGAGGGCAGGGATGGATGGGATATTGGGAATTGGGAATTGTTCCTTCCCAAGGAAGGGTTGGACAACAGGAGGAATTTCTCCATGGAAAGGTTGCTCAGGCATTGGAATGGGCTGCCCGGGGAGGTTTGGAGTCCCCATCCCTGGAGGTGTCCCAGGAATGCCTGGAGGTGCACTCAGTGCTCTGGGCTGGGGACGAGGTGGGGTTTGGGCACAGAGTGGATTCTGTGGTCTGGGAGCTTTTCCCGGCTCAGTGATGCCAATCCCAGCCTGGGCAGGGTTGGCAAAGCTCAGCTCCTGCTCCCTGCCTGGAGCTGGAGGTCGGTGAGCCCAGCAGGGTTTAGCTGCTCTCCCTGGACACAGAAACGCCCCCAGGCCTCTCCCCTGCCCCCACCATCCCTCCGGGGCAACTCCAGCTCCCTGCCCGGCTGGGGGCTTCGAAGGGGAAGGAAGGAGTGACCAGAAGGGCCTGAGTGACAGGGAGGGGACAGGAGTGACCCAGGCAGTGGCCGCTGGCTCTGGGCTGATGCACATCAGCACGGGGGTAGCAACAAGGACATCAATTCCTGCAAGTGCAATATCCCATGGTTATGGTGTTATTTTTCCATTATTTCCCAGTTTATTAAGGCTATTATTTGTACTTGCACTGATGTGAACCCCTTCCTTCTCTGCTTGCTAATTAAAAGGTGGTATTTTCACTGTGGAGCTTTGAAATAGGGAAATGCTCCAAGTTCAGAGGCTGCACAAAGCCTGAAGGGAGAACAATTCTCCTCTTTCTTCACAACCCACAGCAAGGGAAAAAAGAGCAAGTAAAACTCCAAACCTGGTCACTGAACCCACTAGCAATAATTAAACAAACTCTCCAAGCAGGACAGGAGTTGATTGGATTAAAAAAAGTGTATTGGATGCCCAATACAAAATAATAAACATGAAGTTATTAAAAAAAGCCATAGAGGATACAGCAAATACTACAGAAAAGCAAAAAAATTGTACAGAAAGATCGACATCTACAGCAGTCCTTGAAATTCTTCTACATGAGAATCATAAAACAATGTACAGGTTTGGTTTGTTCCTTTTCCCCAAAAGTCTGAGGGAAGCTGTCACTGCACAGCTGGACTATGACACTACAAGGATACACAATGTTCCAAAGTTAAAATCACAGGATATGTAAGAAAACGTAGCATTAAAATGTGAAAAAGTGCAATACAGATTGTACACTGAATTGAATAAATGTTTTTTCTTTTTTTTTTTCAGTTTAACCTTAAAAAACCAACTTTGAACAGTTGTTTTATCATTAAAAATATTCCCCCTCCCCAAATTCAATGACAATATTAACATTCATGGTGTTCTACATAAGGAATATTCACAAAGGCCCCCAGCTGGGAATACTGTGTGTGTAGGATGGCATGTCTTTGGGTATAGGTAAAAAATAGGCAAAGGAACAGATCCACACCCTCCTTTCTCAGGCCAGGTGTGGATTTTATTCTTTAAATACATGTTCTGTAGCTTATTTTGCCCTGAATTGTACTGATTAAAATCCAAACATGAATTATCCAGGTGGCCCATGGTGCTACCATTTATTTAATTCCCTCCCCTCCCTCAATAATAAATAAATGCAGGAAATGACCCCACCCTCAATCCCTGCTCTCCCTTCTCCCAGGGACAGCTTCAGCTCCACTTCAGGGATAAAGGGAAGCGAAGGAAGCCAAGTTCTTTTTGCCCTTTCAGTGGAATTCTCCTGGCAGAGGCACAGAGGGGCCTGGGCTTCCCAAATCCCAGCCCTGAACCATCAGGAAGTTTGGGATTCCTTTTATCCTAGAAGTGAAATTGCACAGGAGCTCATTGGCAGCTGGCTGGGGTTTCTCTCTCTTTTATTTCTCGTTTTGCTGAACTCCAGCCCTTTTTTTAATGCAGAGAAGGACAGAGCCAGGCAAGCACACAAAGAGAGAAGGAAACCCCTCTTCCCTCCCTGTTCCCTCTCCTCCCTTTCCACACAGCTCTGGGAACAGCACCTGGGTCACCAACACTGGCTTGATTTTTACATGGTTTCCAAAGTGTAAAAAAATACATTTTTGCCTTGGTTTGTGTCTGAGGAATCCTTCAGAGCAGGATTCCTGTGGGATGGCCTGGGACAGGACCTGCAGGACCCTGTGGCCACCCAGTGCTCTCCAGCAGGATCTGGGCTGTTGGGAATGAGAAAATCCTCAAGTTCTCTGAGCCCAGGGGGCTCAACCCCAGCCCTGCAGGCTCCTGATCCATCTCTAAACCAACAACAACAAAACAGCTGCCAAAAGAAGCTCCCTGTAGGGTCACCTGGGCAGGAGAAGCCCAATTCCCAGGAGGAATTCTCTGAATGTTCCTAAAGGAGCCTCTTGCTGGCCCAGGGAGCAGACACACAGTACAGCTGAAGATGTTTCCTTGTTCTTCAGTCTTCCCAGTCACTGGAAAAAGACAGGAAACAACAGGAATGAACCCTCCCCCCCCAGGATCCCCTCCCCTTCCCCAGCTACTTCTCCCCCCACTGAAAATATGAAACTGCACAAAAAGCGACAAACAAGGCTCTCAATTACACCTCAACTCAAACAGACCGGGAATCTCACAGTGATGAGAGGAGAAAAGTCAGGCTTTTAATAATTATAATATAAAAATAATAAAAAAAGCTTACAAAGAGCAGTGCAGCATCCCAAAAGGCCATGGATTAACTGCCAGAAGGGGACGTAATTATACGCAGGATAAAAAACAAAACTGAACAACCCACACTGGCAATGAATTTTCATACACAATAGAACAAGCAGTCAAACCTCAGCCTAGGCTGTGGAAAACAACAGTTTCTCCCTTTTTTTTATTACAATATTTTTTTCCTTTTTATAAAAAAAGATAAAATAAAAACAACAAATAAAATTGTACATAAATGCCAATGTCCAACACTGAAAAGGCAGGGCAATCACACCACTGAGACAAAACCTGACCAGAAAAAAACTAATGGCGAGTCCACTTTGCTTTGCTTTTGTCCTGCTGGGTCCCAGCCTGGCGTGGCCCATCCTGCTGGGTGCTGCTGGAACCCCACGTGGCTCCCTGCAGGACAAGGGGTGACACTGGTGTCACCTGGGCTGGTTCCTCTCCTCCTCCCTCCATTGCTCTCATGTGCTGTCCCTCTTTCTGGTTTGTTGATTTGTTATTTTTTTCTCTTTGTCGTTGTTTGCTGTAGTGTTTCCTCTGTACAATCCTGGTGGGCAGGGCAGAGTCCGAGGCCGGGCGCTCACGCCGTGGTGATGGCGTTCAGGTCCTTCATGAGCCCCTCCAGGTGCGCCATCTCTTTGGTCAGCTCGTCGGGCTCGTAGCTCTGCAGGGACAGGGCACTCACACAGGGCTGGGGCTGGCCAGGAGCCACCCAAGGGCACTCCTGGGGCAGCCCTGGGCCCAGCTCAGCCAGCAGCACATGGGATTTAGCCATGCCAAGGGGGGTTTGGGCACAGAGTGGACTCAGTGGGCTGGGAGCTCTTTTCCCAGCTCAGTGATTCCCTGTCAATCCCAGCCTGGCAGGGTTGGAAAAGCTCAGCTCCTGCCATGGCTGGGCAGCTGAGCTCTCTTTCCAAGTTGTCGTTCAGAGCTCCACTGGCCAAGCCCTGTTCTCCTGCCTCAATCCCTGCCTTTGAACCAAAGCAGGAAATTGAGAAGGATCTTCCCAGCTTAGGGAAAGGTCCTATGCACCTTTTATATGGTGCATTTTGGAAATAAATTCATGGAAGGTAAATAGACAGAAATACAACTGTGAAGGACTGCTTGACTGTGAAGGTGCCCTCAGTTCAGCCCCATGCACTGAGGGTCTGTCACTGCCTGCTGTACTGCACTTGAATTTGTTGGCAGAGTCAGCAGAAATTGCAGAAAGGGTGCCAGGGAAAGGCAGCACAAAGGAATGGAAAGAAACCTGCTTTTGCTGGAAATTAAAACTTCTGTTCTCCTGAAAATAGAAACAGCAGTTGCACTGATCACAACACAGACCAAACCCCTCTGATTGTCAAACCCAGGCCTTAGGACCAGAACTATTAAATTCATGGATCAATCCACAAAGGAGCAATGACTTAGAGCTACATGTTAATTATCCTAACAGTGACATCAGACATCAGCTTGCAAATGACCCCAAGACCATCCCTGTCACTGCATTTGGTCAATTTGGGCTAAATTATCATTTCATTTTAACAGATCAGACATTACTGTGCATGAGTAAAGCTTTGCTCCAGGAAAAAAGGTCCAAGGGACACTTCACCAAGGCTGTTTGGGATCAGGACAGCTGCTAAACTCACACATTTTTAGGCTCAGCTGTCCCATTTCTGTCACCACTGTGGACAGACCATGGCCTGGCTCATCTCCAAACCCCTCCTGACCAAGGCCTTCCCAGTTCTGAGCAGTTCCCAGCCCTGTCCTGTTCTCACACACAAACTTCCTCCTCCATTCCAACAGCCAAGAACTTGCACTTTACCAAACCTCTGCCTTGTGCAGCAAAGTCATCCCAGCCCTGTGCCCAACACAGCATCTGCCAGCTCCTGACTGCGACAGAGAGCAGCAGCTGGGAGTGAACTCCTGCCTTAAACTCCTTCCTACAGCTTCTCCCAAAAACCCAGAATTAATTCAAATCATTATCCAACCCTGAACCTCACAGTTCAACCTGTAATTTACATTTTAAGACTCATAGTTGAACCAGTAATTTAATTTAATCTGTTCTTTTGTGCTGACTCTACCTTGCACTAATGCATTAATGATAAAAAGTATTAATGGCTCTATTTAAATATTACAAATTAGTTGTGGAGTATGGGTTTGGTACAGACCAAACAAAATTAATAAAGCAGGAGTGGCAGAAGCTCAAAAGGGCACCAAGATCAAGTTTCCAGATCAGGACATAGAGAAATAAAATCAGGGGAGTAAAAAACATGTGACAAAAGGACAATGAGGAAAATAAATTCCAAATGAGCATTTCCTGCAGCAGTGATGCAGCAGTGAATATTTCTGTATTAACAGGTGACACAATGGCCACAGCAGCAGCTCCTTGGCTTGCAATTTGAGAGGGAAACGGCTCTTCCAGCGCCTCACACCCAAAACATTCCTTAAAAGCTGCTTCCAAAGCTGCCCAACAAGGCTGCACCCTTCCCAAAAGTCAGGAAACTTTCCTGTGATAATTTACAAACATTTTTGGGATGATGGATAGCTTGGAACACTCTGACGTTAACGTCAAATGTTCTGCCTGAAATGGCACTGGGAATGCTCAGGGAATGGCACTGGGAGTGCCCTACAGAGCTGGGGAATGACAGTGGCACTGGGAATGGCACTGGGAGTGCCTGCAGAGCTGAGGGATGGCACTGGGAGTGCCTGCAGAGCTGGGGATGGCACTGGGAATGCCCTGCAGAGCTCGGGGATGGCACTGGGAGTGCCTGCAAAGCTGGGGATGGCACTGGAAATGCCCTGCAGAGCTGGGGAATAACAATGACATTGGGACTGCTCTGCAGAGTTTGGAAATGACACTGGGAATGCTCAGGGACTGGCACTGGAAATGCCTGCAGAGCTGGGGATGGCACTGGGAATGCTCTGCAGAGCTGGGGAAGCTGCAGGACTCAGCAGGACCCTCCCTGTCTCCCCCCATTTTCCACGCGGATTCCTGGCATAGGAGCTGTGGCAGTGCCAAGCCCCTGTGCCCATGCAGGTGCCCCCAGAGCCCCGGGGTGAGCCCTGCCAGCCTGGCAGGGGTACCTACGCTCTCCGAGTCCTCCAGCATGCGCGTGGTCTCCTGCACCTCGGGGGCGCTGGGCACCACCACGGGCATGGGCGGCCGGGTCCTGCCCAGGGTGCCGATGGACGCCGTCTTCACTGCGTGCAGGGGGTGCCCGGGGGCTGCAGAGAGGGGGCACACGTCAGGCACGGGCACTGCCTCTGTGCCTGCCCAGGGAGCCCCTGGGAGGAGCACAGGAAGGACACAGGGAATGGCTCCCACTGCCAGGCATGGATGGGATAGTGGGAATTAGGAATTGTCCCCTGGGAAGGTGGGCAGGCCCTGGCACAGGGTGCCCAGAGCAGCTGGGGCTGCCCCTGCATCCCTGGCAGTGCCCAAGGTCAGGCTGGACTGAGCTTGGAGCACCCTGGGACAGTGGAAGGTGTCCCTGCCCATGGTAGGGGGTGGCACTGGATGGGATTTAAAGCTCCCTTTGAACCCACAGGAGTCTGGGATATGTCATGGTTTGACTCTGCCACAATGCCAGTGCCCCCTTGAAAATACATTTCTATCAGGAGAAAAAGGACACTTCATTTATGGCGTGTTGGATTTGAATTGCCTTATCTACCTACAGAAAATGACCCCAACAAAAGTCACCCCAGCCCATACTTCCTGTGATGCCCAACCCCACCTCCCTTTGTTCCCCGTTGTGGCCTCACCTTGCTGGCTCAGCAGGGGGGTGCTGGGCAGGGCAGGGTCGAAGGGGCCCCCGGCGTTGGGCACGGCGGGCACGGCGAAGCTCTTGAGGGGGTGCGAGGGGCGCACGTGGGCCGTGGGGGGGCCCTGCGGCTCCTCCTCGGCGGGCAGGAACGGCCCCTCGGGCTCCGCCAGCTCCGCGCTGGGCACGGCCGAGCCCGCCGGCATCGTGTCCGTGCTGGGCGTGTTCCGGACGGACTCTGCGGGGACACACAGCGACAGCAGGGGTCACTGCTGCTCCTCCTGCTGGGACCCCCGGCCCGCGCCGAGTGACCATCGGCTGAATGGGAGCTAAAGGAGCCGAGAGCTGAGCGATTCCACCTCTCACGGTTTGGCACTGAAAGAGCTCCTTGGTCCACTCCTCAGACAAACAGCACAGAACACGAATCTGCAGCCTCCTTTTACCCCAGAGTACCAAAACACTGGCATTTTTAACTAGGAACTCTTCACAGCACTGGGGTGGTCACAGAGGAGCCACACTTGAAATCCATTTACTGAGACTCATGGAATGGTTTGGGCTGGAATGGAACCTTGCAGCCTCAGGAACTGTTTTCTTAAGGAAACAACTTTTGGCTGTGATACCTTCAAATGGTGACCTTCAAGTAGAGAAGCTCAGAGTTTGCTTCATCCCAGTGTGTTACCCACGTGCACATTTAGCAGCACCAGTGCTTTGGGATTTTCCAGAGCACTGCAGACTTCAGTGCTCTCTAAAACTACTGCAACTGATTCTGATCAAGCCTGGAAGTGCTGCATGGAAATCACCCCCATTCTCTGTGTACCCCATTCTCCATAGCCAAGCCTGGACTTTCCTTCCCTGCTGCTTTCCAATTGCGTTATTTAGGGGAAAAGTTACCCCATGAAGCAGCTCGGAGTTAATCTGATGTTTCAGACTCCAGGACAGGAGGAATCCCTGCTTGGAGCTGTGTGTAAAACATGAACCCCCTTTTCCAAGGACACCACCAAGGATGTCAAGGATCAATACCTGACCTACCCAGGCAAGCCCAGCCCATCCTGACGGAACCCCCAGAGGAGAGTGGCCCAGCTCCAGGCTGGGGTTTCCAGGTGTTTCCCTGGCTGCTGCACAGAGCAGCAGCTCCCTCAGGCTTGGTGTCTCACCTGTGGAGTCGGCCCTGTCCGAATGGGACATGGCAGAGCCCAGGGGCCACGGGCTGAGCTGGTGCTGCAGGAAGCTGCGGGTTGGAGAGGCGAGGCTGCCGGAGTGGAAATGGTGGTGAGGGGGGTCGAGGGAATGGATGGGATGAGCACTAATCACAGCTGTGGATGAACACAAGACAGAGAAACACTTAACACACACACAGGACAGGCTCCTGGGGGCTCCCCCCCCTGCTCCCTCCTCCAGCAGGGAGCCAGACCCTCGGCTGACAACCCAGAATCAATCCCTGGGTTATCACACCTCAGATGTGCTTAGGACAAAAAAATCACCCAATTACAGCTCCAAAAACTGTGCCACCAGCTCTTAATGCACTGCTGGATTCCAAGGAAAAGTTCAGAAGAAGAATAAAGAGAATACAGATCTGTTATCCACATTGATATATTATCCACTATTATATAGTGAATATACTATCCACTACTGATATACCATGGAATGAGGTGTGGTAAACAATAAACAGCCCTTTGCTTCCCAGCATCCTCCCAGAATTTCTGTACTCCAGGAGGCAAAGAAGGAAGTCACTAGGTACACACCATGACTGCAAATTAGACCAAACTGGCACAGTGAATTGCCATAATTCAGTACTTAGGAGGTAATGAATAACTCCATCTGAACTCTGCAGTGGGTGGAAGAAAGCCATGGAAGGTTGTGCAGGCCCAGAGCTGGAGATGGAATGGTTCTGGTGGGGCTCACTGAGAAAGGGCCTCATGTGCCAGGGTGAGCTCCTGCAGACCCCACAGTGGATGTCCCACTCCCACAAAGCAGAGCCGGTGGCGGGAGGCCCCTGGAGCTCTCACAAACAGCATGGACAGGCCAAGCCTCAAGGCCAAGCTCCAGCAGGGCCTGGGCTGCTCTGTGCCCCCAGGCAAGGCTGGAGCAGAGCCTGGCATGGGATGGGCACCTGTCCCACAGCCACGTGTGACACAGACCAGCTCCAAGGAACTCAGTGTCAAACTGCATCCTCTGCTCCCCCCTCACACGTGGAGAGCTGGGAGACAGCAAAGACATCACGCTGCTTGGTGTACAGCCAGCAAACCACATGCTACTCCTGGAAAAACGTGACAGAACAAGAAGACTGACAAACTGAGCAATCAGGTCATCAGGACACTTGAAAAAGTAGGCAGAGATCAACAACACCAAGTGCTCAGCTCAGTTTTTAATTCAAGTAAAAGAAAGTGGAGATGTAATGAACTACTCTGAAATAATTCCATAAAATGGAGAGATTGTGGCAGCAGCCACCTGGTTGCAGGTGGAACATGATCACAGAGCTCAGGGAAGTCTAAAGCTCAGCCTGGGCGAGCTTGCTGTGATTTTACCTCCCAGTTCTGCCCCTGCACAGTAACTCCTGAGCTTCTCACTGGGGTTCTCACACAGGGCTTCAGTCTGGCTGCTCAGAGGTTCAGCCAAGTCCCTTTCCATCTTGGAGTCATTTGAAAACTCTAGATATGTTGTTTAATTCCAAAAATATTTCACAATAATGGTAATTTTGGTATCAGAGAAGATCCCAGGGCAAAGAAGTCTCAAGGAGCTCAGAGTAAAGTCAGAGAAGGCTCTGAGAGCAGCGAGTGCAGAGATAAAGGGGATGGTGACTGCTTGGGCTGGAGGGGAAAACCAACAGTGAGGAACCTGACAGAGATTCCAGCTCCTGTGGAGCAGCTGGACACTGGCAGAGCTCCAAGGGAATGACTACAAGAGGCAGCAGACCCACGGGCTGTGCCTGGAGAGCCCAGACAGGGACAGACAGATCTGGCCATGCCCCTGCCCTCACCCCACTACAGCCACATCCAGTCCCTTCTAACGTGGCCTCACTCTGCCCACACCAGGAGGGCTCAGGAGCCTCCCCTGAGCTGCCCCTGCTGCCCAGGATGGGATTTCCTGGGAGCAGGGAGTGGCTCCAGCAGGACTGGGGGTTCACTTACGCTGAGGTGGCTGAGAATCAAAAGGCATCATCATCTTGGGCCTCATGCCCCTCCTTCCTGCCAGCGTGGACATGCTGTCCTCTGACTCGTGTCCTGAGGGGAAACAGCCACGTTATGCTCTGCTCCAGCTCTGAACCAGCATTCCCACATCCTCCTCTAGTCCTGCTCCCAGGCAGCTCTTGGAGCCACCAGTGACAAAAGCAGCCCCTTCCCCTTTGCTGGAAGGTGGGAAGAAGGTGGTGAGGGTGAGGATTTTGGGAACTGAAGAAACTCTCCAGGCCCCAGTGCAAACCTCTGGCAGTGATTCAGCTCTGGGCTGAAAGGTCAAAAACAACTCCAGTGCTTTAATATCAAGTGAGATGATTTTCCCATTACTACTCAGTATTCACCAAGAGAAAGTAACAATCTAACTCTTGGATGCTCCATTTCCTCACTAAAACACATGATCCAACCCTTCCAGAGTCTCAGAAACCAGGAACAAACCCAATTCACTACTTGGAAAATAAGAACAGAGAAGAGGAACTTCATCATCTCTCAATAAAGTGATGTCACCAGCCACAGGAAATGCATCTCACCCCCTGGGCTCCCACCTCGGTAGGAATTCCTCCTTTGATGGATGTTGCTGTCCATGGAGTTGTCCACCGGGGTGATGTCCTGGGAGTTGCGAGGGATGGGGGTGTCTGTCATGATGGGGTTGGGATCTGGGGATTTATCAATGGGTTTGAGCTCCAGCCTCTCGTGATGGATCCAGAGGTCTGGAGGTTTGACATCTTTGGAGTTGCCCTTGTACTTGTGGGAGCCGTTCACGGATTTGCAGGCGGCTCGTTTCCTGGGGAGGGGAGCACAGGAGATGTTCTCACTTTTGGAAAAGGCAACTTTCACACAATCACAGAACAATGAGGTTGGAAGAAACCCCTAAGATCATCAAGTCCAGCCTATGCCCTGACACCTCACCTAGACTCTAGCACCAAGTGCCATGGCCAGTCTATTTTAAACACATCCAGAGATGGTGATTCTACCACCTCCCTGGGAAGAGCAATCCAGCACTTTGTTATTCTTTCTGTGAAAATTTTCTTCCTGATATCCAACCTATCCCTTCCCTGATGTAGCTTGAGACTGTGTCCTCTGGTTCTGTCAGAGACCGACCCCACCTGTGCACAACCTCCCTTCTGGGAGCTGCAGAGAGCAATAAGGTCACCTCTGAGCCTTCTCTTCTCCAGGCTGAGCATCCCCAGCTCCTTCAAACCTTCCTCACAGGGTTTGTGCTCCCAGCCCCTCTCCAGCCTTGCTGCCTCCTCTGGAGGCCCTCAAGGATCTCAACATCCTTCCCAACCGAGGGCCCAGAGCTGGGCACAGCACTGAAGATGGGGTCTCACCAGGGAGAACTTTCCCTGGGATTTCCCTCAGGTCTTGCATCCAGCTGGGCACAAGTTTTCCACTGGGCAGGGAGCTTTGAATTTTGCACACAAGCCCCAGTGACAGCTCAAAGCACATCCATGGAATGCAGCCCTGGCTGTGCAGCCCAGCCTTCCTTACCAAGAATGAAGTTTGCAGAAATTCTGCTCATTAAGAGAATATTCCAGTGCTGTCCCCTGGCTTTTCAGCACTTCCTTAAAAATCTGGTTTGCATAAAACATCTCCTTTTCAAACTCCAAATACAGCTCTGGTCTTTCAAAGAACACACAGAGAGACCCTGCAGGAGCATCAGTGCTGCAGCATTAATGCAGCTGCTCGGAGGGAAGCACTCAGATACAAACACTGGGATTTGGGAGCACTTTCCTAAGGAATCCAGCAGCACATTCAGATTCCCCTCCAGTGATCCTACTGAAAACCAGATAATGTCAATGCAAGAGGGAGGAGCTGCCTGAGCTCTTGAGCTCTCCCAGCCCCCTACACATGGATTGGCTCCACTTTGGAAACTTGTGAAGGAATGTCACTGTGATATTTTCTGACAAATCCCTTCGCCAGCATTTCTTCTCCTGGGGAGCTGAGAAGCCTCAGAGAAGAATGAAAACAATAATTATCTGATTGCTTCTCCTTGTGTTTGCTGCTTTGGAATGTGGGCTGGAGATTGTTTATCCAACAAGTGGTTGCTTGATTGGTTCCATGTGAATTGTTTTGACTTAATGACCAATCACAGCCAGCTGTGTCAGACTCTGAGGAGTCAGTCACAGGCTTTCATTATCATTCTTGTTAATCCTTCTGTCTGTATCCTTTCTCTTTCTTTAGTATAGTTTTAGTATAGCATTTTTAATATAATATAATATCATAAAATAATAAATCAGCCTTCTGAGAGTATGGTGAGAATCTTCTGAGAGATTCTCATCTCCCACCTCGTCCTGGGGACCTCACAAACACCGCAAAGGACAATTTCTCCTCAGGGAGGGAGGGGGAAGTGCAGGCACACCAGAAGCACTGCCCTGATTTGTGTGTGAGCTCGAACTCTGGGGCACCGGCAGGAAAAGCAGCCCAGCAGCACCTACAGGCTGCAGGACTTAGAGGGAATAAACCCTGACTGAAGAACTAAACCCCAGAGTCAGTAAGGCAGCCCCAGCCCCAGCCCCGTTACTTTTTCTGGTGGGACGTGGTGCGGCGCGTGCAGAAGACGGCGACGATGACGACGATGACGATGGTGATGACGCCCACGGACACGATGATCACCAGCAGCATGTTGCTGTCCAGGGGGGATGTGGGGCTGCCATGGGGGCTGTTACTGCCTGGGAGGGTTGGGGAGGGGAGAAAAGGCTCATTTATTACACAGGAAATCAAGCAATGCCCACCAAAGACGTCTGGAATCCTGCAGATCAGCAGGAGGGGATGGAGCTCCTGAGCAATGTTTGTTTCTCTGCATTTGCCAACTGTTTCTGTACAATTGCTCATCTGGAAGTTGATTTATAGATCCATTTCCTACTGAGTCTGTCACAATTGAAGTGCAGCCTACTCAGTTATCACAAAAACCTCCTCGCTCTCAGCAGAGTCAGTCTGGGATCCTGCTAAACCTGCAGCACCACAGACTCCCCTTGGAGCCACTGGAATTGGACCAGGAGCCTCCAGGGGTCTCTTGGCTGCAAAGGAAACCCTTTATCCAACCCCCTGAGGACAGGAAATCCCAACACACTGCACTGAGCAGGAGAAGGAGCACAGGAGGCCCTTCCCTCCCCATCTGTCCCTGCTGAATTGATGTGCCACTATGCTGGGAGCAGCTCTGGCATGGAAATGCCAAGGGAGCCCAGCAGCAGCAGGAACAGCTCTGGAACTGCTGCTGGAACATTCCCTGGCTGCCCCACAGCGTGGCCATGGAGCAGCTGTGCCCCACACTCACCTCCCAGCGGGGGTTTGTAGTCCGGGCCCAGGTCCAGGGGGCGGCTCCCCTTGCCAGCAGATCCTGAGGCTGCAAGGTTGGACACGGAGGGATGTTACACACAGAAACACAACTCAGCATCTGAGGCCTTCTCTGGAACCTCCCCAAGCCCCCCAGCAGCAGCTTTTCCCTCCTTTTCTGTCCCTACAACCATACTTGGCTTTGCACAGCACCTGCTTCTCCGAGGAAAGAGCCACTTCTCCAAAGGAGCTCTTCAATGGTTTCCCAGTTGTATGTTCCTAATTAGGCCTCTCCTAATTTCACTTTAAAATCAACAATAAAGCCCATTTGCAGTAAGGCACAGATACATGTTGAGGCAAATGGTTTTGCCACTGAGAGTTCCTCCCCCTGAAACAGGAATTATCCAGGTGCCTTTTCCTAACACCCAATTCCAGCAGCTGGGGGAGACAGGAAATGTGCACAGTAAATGTAATATTAAGGCCCTGCCTAGCCATAAAAACTTGCTTTCAGCTTCTCCCTGTCCTCCCCTGCACACCACAGGTGACAACAAAGCACCACAAAAGTGGTTTTGATGAAACCCAAGGGAACAATAAATTAGTTACATCCAAACCTGGTCCTTCCACCAAAATGCATTAATGCAAAATTAATGACAAAAACACTGGAGCACAGGAAACATTGAGCAATGGTGCAAAGAACAATATTCCCTTGGTTACAGGAATCCAGAGTATTTTACACAATTCCACACTGATCTACAAGAAGGAAAAAAAATCCTCCAAGAAGTGAGGCAGTGTGGAGGAGAACACTCAGGAGAAGGATTTTTTTTTCTGTTAAAAATCTCCTTTAATCAAGAAGTAAGAGGTGTTAAGGGATGTGTAACAAATGGAAACTGAAGCTCAAGTGAGAGCCTGTGAACTGGTCCCTGAAATGAAGACAAATGGCAAAACCAGGCAGGGGCAGGGGCTAAAGCTGGGGAGGGGAGCAAGGAGAACATTCTGTGTGTGCAGTGAGGGAGAGGAAGGACGGCAGGACAGACAGTGGGACATGGGAAGGACCCCGGGCCCTGCCAGGATGGAGCAGACACAGCACCAGGGTCCCTCTGTGGGCACCAATAACCCTGTGCAGCAGCAGAGACAGACTGGGACAGCACCATACACAGCTTTTATGTGATATATTTGTGTCTGCCTGGGCACTGAAAGGTGGGAGCCCCAGAGGGACTCAGAATCCCTGAGCCTGGGGCTGGGGGGCTGCTCCAGGCACAGAAGCTGTGGGAGAGGGGGGACATGAAGAAGCAGCAATATTTAGGGAGGGAATCAGACACCCTGAGCACTCCCAGTGTAGCAGCTGGAGCCCTAAAGCAGGTGAGAAGGTGGAAAAGGGGATGGACAGGAGATGGCACACACTTCACATTGTTTTATGGAAAACAAGTATCTTCAAGAAGCAGAATGTCAGCCCATAAATGTAGCTGGTAACAGTAACTATGCAGATATATAATGAGAGATACATAAAATATACTGCACTGAGGCTTCCAGGAAATATCTGACAGTGCTGTGCAATGCTTTGTTAAAATAGCACCATAAAAAAAAACATGTGGAGCCTATTAACAAGATTAACAACAAATTAACTGAGAAGAATGAGAATTATCCACAAGAAATGCTTTCAGTGAGCTCTGCAAGGACCTGTGCTTGGCTAATGCAGCTCAGTGTCCTGAATAACCCCAGAAAGGAGAAGGGAACAATGCCCTGAGGCCAGCAAGGGACAGCAGATGAGGGCCAAGAGAGAGAGACAGTGCACAGGGACCCTCATGGAACCCCTGTCCTCCTCCCTGATGAATTTAGGATGAAATTTAGGTACCCAGCCAAGGTGCTTCTGAGGATCCAGGTACTAAACTCACAGATGAAGAGTTTAAACCTTTAAATGCATTCCAGGGAGCCCCAGCTCTTAGGCAGTGGGACCTGTTTTAAGGAGTAGTTTAAGACAGCATTTGCTGGAATGGTTTTTAATTCAGCCTCTGAACCTCCTGTTATAATATACCCAGACAGAACATTTTAACTGTGGGTGACTTCAGGGTGGGTTTACTCAACCAGAGACCTCAATCTTTGCTTTGGGATGAGGTCAGTGCAAGCACCTGACCCCTGAGAGCAACAGGCCCTGAGCTCTGGCCAAGCTCTGTGCTCAGAAAGGGTGGGGAGAACAGAATGCTGTGCTGAGCTCAGAGGGAAACATTAAAGCAGACAAAGAGAGAAAAGGACAGAACCATTCAGGGCAGAGCATCAATCAATCCCCTCTGGTTTTGCTCCCAGCCTGAGTAACTTGCTGGTTCTCCCCTGCAGCTCCCAGCCTGGCAGTTCAGTGCTGCTCCTCAGCTCCCCTCCTGCACTGCCTCTGCCTTCCCCTTTCCCACATTCCAGCTCCTGCCATGATTTCAGCTCTCCCAGTGTCCTTACTGGAATTCTCAAACAAAACACCTGGCTTTGATGATTTATAAATAATAGGATGTGATAAACATTGATCTTGACTAGGAGAAGATGTTACTTTAGGGTGTAACACTGGCTGCAAAGGGGTTGGAACAGGGAGAAGCAGAAAACAGCAACTTTCACCTCAATCCCTGTAACCTTCCCCAGTTCCCTGCTGCTGCAGGTGAGCAGGACAATGACACTGCAGCATCTGCTCCCCAGCCAGCCCCAAGCCCAGCCCCACCTCCAGGACACAGGGATGGGGATCCATTTACTCCTGGACCAGCATCACCTGGTGCAGAGTCAAAGCACATTTCACAAATGACTGCAAGTGCCAAGCTGAGGAGCCAAGTGAGGAAGGAGCAGCTCCCTCAGAGCCCCTTCAGGATCTCTTTAATTGCATGTCTAAGCTGTTTGCCAATGGCCTTTTTAACTCATCCCTCCAGACTAATTCTCCCCCTTTTATGGGGCTTGTAGGTTATTTGGAAGAAAGCAAGCAGTGCCCTGGGACATCCACCTTCTAATTCGATGTGGGAAGCTCAAAGCTCCCATTTTTCAAGCAAACATTTTAAAACCTTAAGGCTTTTAGGAGCCAGTGCTGGGCTCCTCAGGAGAGTCTGGGCTCCAAATGAGCTGACAGGCAGAATCTCTCCCGCACAGAGCTTTCCAGGGCTTCCCTGCCTTTATTATGGAGTGAATCCTCACAAGCAGCACTTGTGCTAACCAGAATCCCTTTGATCTTCCACCCCCTCGTACGTGGGCAGGGCTGGATGGGGCAGCACTGGCTCCAGAGCAATCCCCCAGCAGGATTCAGAGCTGGCACAGCCCCCATGGCCCTTCTGGGACATCTCTACAGAGATCCCTTCACACTCCTGCCACCCACAGCCTCCAGCTCTCCCTGTCAGCACAGCAGGAACCACCCCAGTCAGAGCACAGGATCCTGCTCCACTCAGAAATGTCACAGCACATGGACAGCAAACAGAACAGTGAGGGATGGAGAGAGGAGAAATGTGGCTGTTCATTTACCTTGGTCATTGGGCATTTTATCTGAGGACTCAGCTTAGTGGGGCAAGCACAGGGAGGAAAAAACAAGAGACACATCACAAGGATTGAAGGAGTGAGACAGAATTCCAAGTTTCCCACAGCACAGGGTACAGCTCTTGAAACTCACACGGAGAAGTGTCCAAGGCCAGCCTGGACAGGGCCAGGAGTAACCTGGGCTGGTGGAGGTGTCCCTGCCCATGGATGGGCTGTAGGGTCCCTCCCAATGACAGGATTCTCTGACAAACTCATAATTCCATTTTTCCCAAGCTCTCTCCCATTTTACTCTTCACTGTCTTTGCCCATCACCATCCTAAATTAGGGGCCTGTTGCATCCCAGGAGTTCCCACTGCACTATCCCACTGCCAGGGAAGTGACACACAGGACCTGGACTGTCACTGCAGCCACCCCGAGTCTGTGACAGCAAAGGCCCCAGGCTCTGGGAACAGCCAGTGAAGCCCAGAGCTGAGCTCCAGCCACAGGGATGCAGCATTCCATCAACTCTCCCACCCTGGTCAATCCCCAAGCCCTCAGCCCTGGGAACATGAACTACTGACCATGGAGCCATCCCTCCCAAAGGGAAAAACTGACTCCCCATGGGCTTGGTGTCACAACTGCCTCTGGTTTCTCCTGGCTTGGTATCCCTGGTGGCCACCCCCTACTCCTGGAGGCCAGGCCCCTCTGCCCCCCCACCTCCTCCCCTTTATAAGCTGCCTGCTCCATGTGGTTTTCCTCTTTCCCCGGGTTTGTCCTTTGGTGACTGTGTTACTGTGCTGGGATAAAACCTTGCAGAAGAGCCTTTCTTGCCTCTATCACTGAGCCAGCTGTGGTGAGAGCTGAGTGGAGTTTGACTGCACTGCCCAAATGTTAACTCAGCCCTGCCTTTTAACAGGA